CCTGAAGACTTACGTACAGGTGTCCTTGGTGTTATGTGGGACTGTGTAATTGACGGCACCAGATTCACAAAAGCCTCACTTATATCGTCAGCTGTGGCCGAGGCTGGCACACCGTAAACTATTACTGAAGTTTTTTGAACGCTGGGAACTCTCACAGAAACTGTTGAAGAAAGCGCAGGTGTTTCTTCTATTGATTTCCGAAGCACGTCTATGTGTAGCAGTGCACCGCACCAGCAATTCCTTGGCCCGGGTAGGGCGAACTTCTTCAACTGTTATGCCTATGGCTCTTCGCGCTTATCTTGGAAGTAAGCTGGAACCCTAACCTGCTCAGGGGTTCGATCTGTGTCGTTGGGCTTAATTAGCAACACGTGCTCGGATTTCTTTTTTCCAAGCGGCTTTGTATGGCGTTTTTTCTTTCGAACTTCAGTGAAAGGAAGCTCGTTTTTATCTGTCTGGTAATGTGCATCACCTGTAGTAGAAGGGAGTACCGTAACAGGTGCAGTAGGAGCAATGATATTTGAAGTATCGCGCTGCTGTTGTAATGCCTGGATTTATGGCCCTGCAGCTGAGCGTAATATATCTCTTGTTCAGCTATTGTGTTGCGGACTGTATTTACAAAGCTGGTTACTTGCTTCCTGACGGATGCGTTGAGTTTTTTAGAATCTTTGGAATGTCTAATGAACAACTGCAATTGGTCACAAATAAGATTGCCTCTATTCTAGAGGCGGGAGTAGAAGAATTTGTTGTGCTTCTGTCTACCGAAGGGAAGTCTTGTTTAGCGCGTGTGGAGCTAAATGGGTCCGCAGAAGTAGTTGGCGTATCTGGATGCATATTTAAATCACAGTAATGCACATAGAGTAATTATAAGCGCAGTAAAAAGCACTGAAATTACAGTAATATGTGGGAACACAAAGTAAGTGAAAGCGCAGTTTATACCACTGAGGATATGGTTTTAGGTGACAACACTTGCGTGCTTGCGAGAACTAGCGCTAATAGCAGGGAGGTGAATACTAACAAAGAGGAGGGAAAAAAAAAAAAAAAAACCGCCAGCAGCGCACTATAACATTACAAAATTGAAATGAAAAATAGTAACTTATACTTAGCAAATTACAGTTGCAGGTACACAATAAAATTGCAGTTAAAAAAAATGTTAAGCAAATTAAAACACAGTTAATCACGATAAAATTCAGTACCAACTGATATTAAGCATTCATTAATTTTAGTATATATTAACAATAATGAAGGTCATAATTATATTACTGGTAATTATAATAAACAAAATAAAATATATGCTAATGAACACTTAATAAGTTCAATAAGTTCGTAATAGTTAACAAGTTCATAAGTCAGCAGAAAAGATAAGTTCAGAGCAATAGAAAGTTCTTTCCTAGAGTCTGAATTTAGAATAAATTAATTCAAGTAGTGGCCTGAACTAGTGAATACTTCAAGGTGAACATATTTTTGGAAGAGGCAAGTTGAAAAATTAGCAACCGCCTTCACCGGGAATCGAACCACGGACCTCTGGATACCTGCCCAGCGTGCTACCGTTACACCACGAAGGCCCGCTAGGAAAGTGGGAGAAATACCTTATAATAGAAGCTCAGATTATAAAAAAACTTATTCATACAACAGGTAAATTCATTCTTTAAATTTTCTATAACAATGTGTCAGAAACACAAATAGCCATGTATCCCACCTGAAACTAAATATTAAGGTAATTAAGTTATAATATGTCGCATATTAAAACAAAGAATATCTGTTGCTAAAGAGGGAAACTTAAATAGGAAAGAGAGAATTCCCCCCCCTTATATTTTAATACGAAGTGACTCATTTGATAAATTCTAATCGAGAAAGAAGGAGTATAACAGGTTTATGAAAGCTGGACATCCTCTCCACCCAAACAAAGTTCTCTTCCTACGTTTCTTCCTACGAGTATCTCAACAAGCTAAGAACTTCCTTTCATAGTTCAAAATTCGAAATAAATGAGTCGGCGATACGTATTGAAGATAAAAAAATTAATTGTAATAAAAATGAACAAAAAACTGCAAACTTTACACTTCACGATGTAGTCAAAAGGAACTTCTTAGCTTTAAATCAAATGTAGGAAGGGAACAAAAGGAAAGTATCACAGATAAACGGTGAGATCACCGATAAAACATTTTGCTATTCAATATTGCCATTTAGCAACTTTCAAGAACTTAAAACAGAAGTAAGACAATTTTGAAACAACATAAATATGATATGAAAATAATAATAAGATGACATGGGAAATTTTTAATTCATATGTAAATGTCGAAAAGATGTTCTTTGCATTCTTCTCCTAAAAATATTATTTTGAAGAGCTATTTTTCTTCACTTTGAGTGTGAAATTAATATCTGGCATTGATTCAATAAAGTTTCTAGGAACATAACTAAATATAGCTTTCTAAGCTTATTACAGCTAGTTTTATTTCTTTAATCACGGAAAATATTCGCTCATCTTCGTATGCATGTCCTAAGAATACTTCATACATAAGTCGATTATTTAATAAATAAGAGCAAACCGCTGGAGAGCTTTCAAATTTTCCTTGAAAATTAAGCCAGAGGAACAAGAAGCGTGTGATTTAACCAACAAAAATGACACTCTGTCTAGCGGTACGATACAAATTTTATCTAATTTGCAAAAAAAAAAAAAAAAAAAAAAAAAAAAAAAAAAAAAAAAAGATGATAGAGATATTCGGTCATTCTGTCCATCCATGGAGTTGGTGATAAATTTTCTCTTTGAATTACACTTGTTGGTCATTAAAATTGCTACACAATGAAGAAAGCTAATAATAAACCTAAAATTTTCATAAAATGTAGAACAGGCCAGGATATGCAAAAGTTAGCATTTCACAACATGCGAGCATTGCAGGAAAGAATAATGACACTTCGAAGCTGTATAACATGTCAGATGGAAAAGGCGATTTTTCGTTAATAAATCCTGCTTGATCGTTATTTTGTTTGCAGAGGTCGTTTTATGAGTCGTATAAGAAGAATGAACTCATACTAGCAGGTCTCAGAATACTGCCATGGAGGGGGGGGAGATCATACCCTACCGGGACTGGGAATTTCTGTATCGCGCAAATGCTTCTCTCGTTGTTCGAGATCCAATGACTGTTATGAGAATTTACAATCGTTACATCTAAGAGGAGCACAAAAGGCAACATACGGGTTCTCAATGGCTCTCACTCATCGATGTTCGAGGCGACAATCATCTTAGACGTATCACTTAAATATCGTACAGATATATCACGTATGCTGGGATAGTGAAGTGGACAAGCTGCTTAACACTAAATATTGCACATACGCAGCGACGACATTTACAACGCTATGAATAGTCAGCAAGGCGACCAGTGCTTCAACTTCCATTGACAATACAGCACAGGAATTACAGCCTATAGTGTTCGTTAATCGACGCATATGGAAACATTAGTGGAATGACGTCGTCTTTACTGCCGATTCTTTTTTCTGCTTACATCGCCATGTACCTGTGAGTAGAGACGGTGAATGAAATGAACATTGTAAGCTTTAAACTCACCATACCGGCCCAGCACCTAGATTGATGGTACGGAGAACCATTCGGTAAACATCCCGTTCACCTCTAAGTTCACATACGCTTTTTTTTTTTTACCAATTACCATTTCATTATTGAAATTTTAATGCTCGTGGTTGTGTATAGGGTCTTTGTCTCCCCACCTTTCAACAGAACAATGTGAAACAGTATGCTGCCAACAATATCCCACGTTTCGTCAACACACAAGTTGTTCAAGCCGACGTGCTTTTCATATGACCGAAAACATTTGATCAACTGTTGCAGAGAGACTGGTGAGAATGTACACTCCAGCTAGTACGATTGATGAACTCTGACATATAATTGAAGCCACACAGACTGCAGTACCTGTGACTACCATCCAAAATCTTTTCGAACTGCCCTGGCCAAATAATAGCTATTCTTGTTTCCAGAGACAGATGATCATAAAACTGATTTCTGCATGTACTGTACATCAAAATGACCTGGAATTGTAATCATTTCATAGTTTCGTTATGATATATTTATAAAATAAATATGATTCTGTTAACTCCCTTTATTCATGGTCTATGAATTTTTATGGATAGCTAAAGAGCAGACTTGAATGCACACCTAGATTAAGTGACTTAATGAATTTGAATTCGTCAGTGACTGCTTATAAGATTTCTGTTAGCTTAAGGCTACTCGTTTCTGTATTTAGGCTGTTAGATAAAGCTTAATATGTTTTAGTACGCTTAATTTGTAACTTATAATGAGGCTACGTTATTACTACAGCTCCTTTGGCCATACTAAGAGCTGTATTCTGCTTTGCAATACATCCATAAAGGTTTATATCAATTACGGTCTATCTATATTCCAAACTCTGCACTGAAATCAGTTTAATGATACTCAGATAGACCTTTGCAAATAAACTTCAAAGACTGTATTTCCTTAAGCAAAACAAAGGGAAAAAACTCTTTATATCGAAGAAATTATGGTGTGTGTGTGATTATGGCAAAGCCTCGAGGGCTATCTGCCTAAGAGGAGGGATGCCTTCGTGGAGGACTTTCTAAGGGAAACTGGCTCGTATACACGTTACTCATGGGGTAAACCACGAAAACGCTCATGCAGCCAGCCCGTTCGCGGGATTCGAACCTCGGACCGAACTACCAGTGTTCAGCGACTTTACCGCTCGGCCGCTGGTGGGCGAAGAAATTATAGAAAACACGTATCTGGGAATTACCAGATTATTGAAAAATTCTTAGTTTTTAAGTTGTATGTCTTAAAATAATCTTCCTCAAACTCTGTTTGGTTAGAAGGCGCTGCCTTAAGAATATAAATGTCATCTAAATATATTATACCAAATATTTATTCTCTACTCGAATGACTTTCACATAAAATTATTTACAGTTGTAACTTACAGTTGTAAGGATAAATAAAAAGAAAAAGAAATTAAAAAAATTCAAATCACCTTTCCGATCTTCATTTCTTCTCTCTTTCGATTTGGCTGCTGCAAGGCTTGCAAGTTATGGCGACATTTATCGTAATCAACTAATTTCCTTCCTCTCTTAGCAATTTTCCCCTGGAGTAAAAATACGAAAGTACTCTTAAAATGCTTTCTTTGTTATGTACAATATTCAGAGTAGTTACTCTTATGTGTTATATTGGACCTGATTTTTAATTATAATATTGCATTAATAACATAACATTCAATTAACATCTAAGCCTTTCATGATATATACTGGCAATATTCCTCTGCAATAAACATTGGGGGAAACCTTAGATAATGTACTCTTGCGTTTAATGAAAAATTATACATAATTTTGCAATCGTGCGGAAAAAATAAGTAAAAAAGCTAAATGAAAAGGTACTAAACTAAAAAGGGGAATTAAAACACACAATTTTCATAGGAGGCAGAGGTTGTATAGCCGAATGCAAATAGGCAACCAAAATTAACATAAAATGCAATCCCGCAGTCACACCACAGCGCCTTAAAAAGGGGCATGCCAGACCTATGCATCAATTCGCAAGGAGCGATAGTTCCGTATAATCCGAGAGAGCCGAAGTCGAAAGCATGAGCGGAAGACACTATCTGCATGATAATATGCATTGGGAGGCTGTTGAGATGTTACAAGCTGGTGCAATACAATCCGCTGTTGCGAGAGAGCTGAATGTGCATCGTAATGTCATCAATAGGAAGTGCAATCGTTACCAAAAAGATCAAAGCCCCTGCAGAAGACGTGGTCCTGGAAGCGGGAGAATTACCACAGCGGCAGACGTCGCTTCCTGTTGCTATGTGCAAGGCGCTGTAGATCACTAACAGCATGACAACTGGCGTCGCATCTCTCTGCTGCTTGAGGACGGCCCATATCCCGCCAAAACGTATCGCTTCGACTGCATGAATGTGGAATGTACTCCCGACGACCTCTTCTTTGTATTCCTTTGTCCCTATTGCATCTCAGACAGCTGCTGAACTTCGCCCCCCCCGAATATCGCAGTTGGATCCAGAAAAGTGGCATCAATACTGTTTACGGATGAGTCTCGATTTAACATCCAGAACAATTTCCGAAGAAATGATATGGCGAGAGTCAGGGACACACTTTCGGGTGCCAAACATCGTCGAAAAAGTTCATTACAGAGAAGATGACTTACTTATATGTGTTGGGATAGCAACGAACGCCCGCATCGACCTCTACGTGATTCCTGGTGCTTCTTTCACAGCCGTCAAATATCGCGAGGAAATTCCCGCCCTCTTGTGTGTCCTTTTTTCGCTGCAATGGGTATCAATGCAATATTTATAGACGATAACGTCCGCTTGCATAGAGCTCGAGTGATGCGGAGTTATCTGGAAAGTTAAACCTTTCCACATAGACCACGGCCTCCTAGATCACAGTGTACAGACATTAGGTTATTTCGAACCAGTTGTCATGAAAAATGAGCAGTGTCCTATCCTGGACTTGAACCACGAACCTTTCGAATACGCGTCGAGCGAGCTGACCAGTACACTACGAAGGCATTGTAAGAAGGCGGGAGAAATACCATATATACTCCCCCTTTTAAAGGGCGACTGAAGATTAGGCGACCATATCGCCAAATCCTGGTGGTGTAGAATCATCATCCACCACCCTTTTAGTTCGGGCGCCACTGCAGACACATTAGGTATTTTTTGAAAGGAGTCATGAAAATGAGCAGTGCCCTAGGAGGGACTCGAATCACGGTCTCTTAAATGCGTGTCGAGTGTGCTGATCACTACGCTACGAAGACATGCTAAGAATTTGGGAGAAATACCTTATAACAGGACCTGAATCCCGTAGAGCATGTGTAGGACATGATGGGAAGTTGAATAGCCATTAGATGCTCTCTACGAGCTCCGACATTCATTACTACAGGAATGGGCGCTACTGCCACAAGAAGCGATCAACGACACTATTGCCAGCTTCCCTCGCCTTTGCCAAGGATGCATTTCAGCTAGAGGTTATCATACCAATTATTAGCGTGATGTTTCCATTGCACATTCTTCCGAGCCATTCGGTCTTTCGCGATGTGATGGTCGTAATGCATGGATTTTTGTATAGCTTTGCTTTTGTTTGCTATGGTTGTCTAGTAATGGCACACCAACCATTTGGATCAATTTCAGGCATATCCATTAAATGGGTTTTGGGTTTACTCCGCGCTTTGCCTTTGTGGATTATTTTTTTAGGACTGTATATTGGAACCGTAACATTTAAACGTTCCATCACGTATATTCTTCAAAATTTTCTCTTTTACAGACAGGTTTCGCAAATAACAACTTGAAAACACTTGCTCAGTTTTAAAACAGCTCTTTTTTTTTTTTTTTTTTTTTTTTTTTTTAAATCCTTGATCCTTTAAATGCCTTTGGCTGCTCTCATGAACTCATATTGAATACACTTTTAGATATTGTTGTTGTACAAACTACCTTTGTATAAAAATTTAGCAGTTATGTAAAAAGTTTTTAATTAAAATTAAGCTAACTAAACTGCAGAAAATATAACTGTTTCGATCTCACAGCGGTCAGTCTAATTTTTTTCAAGAAAACATATAAATTTTAAATCCACTTTATGTATATTTATAAATGGAATTTTAACAGTTTTTACAGTATCCCATCTTTCAGGATGCCCGCATTTCAACGATCTATTCATTCAACTATTTTTTAAATAGCCACAGACCTTACGTTTGACATATAATCCGCTGTTCCGACCCATTTTATGACTATTTATATATTTAAAGCTAAAATTTGGGGTATTTCTAAACAAATGTACGACATTAGTTAACTTTACCTCCTATTCGCAAATGATATTCCTTACTTTCCCAACGGAAACAGATTTACAAGCGGCTGACATTTCATTAACTTCGGGATTTTGATAGCTCTCCTACCCCTAAATCTATGGATACCTTTATTCTATTTGATCAGTTTTTTGATTTATGGCACAACATTCGAGGGATATCTGCCTAAGAGGAGGGATGCCTTTGTGGAAGACTTTTTAAGGGAACTGGCTCATTACAAGTTACATATGAGGAAAAACACGAAAGCGCCCAAGTAGCTAGTCCGTTTGCGGGATTCGAACCTCCGACCGAGCTACCAGTGTTCAGCGAGTTCATCGCTCGGCTGCTGTTGGGCCTATTCTTTTCGAAACTACTGGTAAATATATAATATGCAGTATTAATGCCTTCCAATGAAATAGTTTTTTTTCTTTTTTTTTTTTTTTTTTTCTTTTTTGGGTTGGGTTTCTGAAGCAGTAATAAGCGCAATGAAAATTTTTGTATAAATTGTATCAGTTCAGTTACTTATCGTTGTGCAGACAAGAACTAGAAAATTCATAAAACCTTTCTAACATACATTATATTAACTGATGTAACTTTGACAGCGTAATGAAACATTCGAAAACGCATGAAGTGCTATTGATATAATTAATTGTTGGAAATGAATAAAGACATTTCTCAATGGAAGGGAAAAAAAAACATACCAAAAATACAATGAGCCTCTTTTGTCTATTAATGATGATACAGCAATAAGTCTGAAGAGAGTTTCAACTACTACTCTTACTATTTCTATCCTTATAGTTTAACTTCAAGGTAAAAATGAATTTTTAAAAATGTTATAACTTTCCCTGAGCCAAAGGTCATTGGATAATTGTTTAAAGCTGCAAGTCAGACCAAAGGGTTAAAAATATCATTAAATATACATTTATTTAAAAATTTCACAGTGACTGTTACATATTTAATGAAAATTTGTGTTTATTTTCTTCAGATATCCATTTTCCTTACGGCAATTTTATCCATTTCGAAGGAAAGTTTACCACAATGCAGAATATCAGTTGTACTTAACTGAGCAAGGAACGCTATAATTTGAAAATTTAGTAAATATTTTTGCGAAATTTTTGCAACAGCTCTTAAAAAGTCATACATTTCTAAAAATAAAATTGTTACTAAAAAAGAGGTTAAAGAGGAAGAAGGTTCAGTTACAATATAAGGCTGAAATCCAAGACCTAAATGTGCTTTACAGCTTATCCCACAGATAATACTTTTTAGGTTAGTTGAAATTTATTTCGGTGGATTTTACCATATGTAACATGGATACTAATTAGCTTCCCTTATAAAATCCTACAGTAAGGCATGCCCATGCCTAGGCAGATAACTCAAGAGTGATTTGCTATAATCAAAACAAACCAAAAGGAAGATCGAAATTTATATCGTCATTTGGGTCATAATGCGTCTGATATACATTTTGAAATATAAAAAGTATCTTGAGAAGTAATAAAACCGAATAACTAAGTGCTATAACCGAAAACTCAGTTTCTGTTTCAATCGATTCCTAATGTGATAACAAAATCTTACCCTGATTTCAGGAAATTGGCTGAGGTATGTTGCAATTGGAACGCCAACTTGGTCGTTGAGTTTATGGCAAAAATCGTCCCACACCATTTCGAGTACCTTTATTAACAAAAGACACATGATAAATGTCTGCGTCATTTAATAGTTCAAAATAAATAAATAAATAATAAAAATATAGACAAATAAATACGAAAAATATAGGTAAATAAATAATAAAAGTGTAAATAAATAAATGACTCAAAACACACATTTTGCAAATGTAATCGATGTAGAATATTTTTTAACAGAATTGAATAGGAACTTGAATTATATTTAACTAAGCTGAGATTAAGGACGATGAATATAACATCACCATTTATGTTAGTTCACACATTTATGCATCAGAAATAACTAAATTTGCAAACAAATTTCTCAAAGAATTTTCTTAAATGTTGCAAAAACAATGTAAAGTATTGAATATAAAATAATATACAGTACTAATATAACTGGACTGAAACATAAATTACATTCAATTAAGTTAAGATTAAAAAAGGGAAAAATGGCGTCACGCTCTGTAATAGTTTACTCATAATTTATATGATAGATGATACTAATTCAGCGTTTTATTAGTAAAGAGTTGAATGACTGAATGTACAATGAAAAACAGAGCATTTTTTATATATGGTGTGCTTTACCTGAGTTTTAATTGGAAGCTGTTCGGATCCCACCCAATTTTGTTCGTACATTTCAGTCAGTGTATCCATCAGACTTTTACTGGCAGCTTGCATAGCTATAAAATATCAAGCGATTATTTCTTCGAACAATAAAACTGGTAATAATCATGACAAAATTCTTCACTCCTGTGGGCTACAAAAAATGAATAGTTAGGACAAAAATTATTTATATTTTAACTTTCTGTAAAGTAGTAAACAATAAAGCTTTCAGGAAATGAACAATAGCGTAGATGACGATTATATCTCTAACAGAAATTTTACAGCTTATGTTATGCAGCGGTATATCGTTGACTGGTTTAGAAGCCAAAAAGTACTTATACTCAAAGAAGAAAGACGTATGATTGATATAAATAGTAATAATAATTATGTGGATGCATTTCGGACATCCTTTAAACCAGATTTCTATATCATACACTGTCCCCACTTTGGAGTTGTATTCTCTGAGATAGCAAACATTTAATACAATAATGGAATTCTAATTGATGTAAAATGATCAATCGTTTATCAAAATCAAAGTCTATTATGATTTAATTTATTTCGTACTTAAATCTAAAGCAAAAAAAAAAAAAAAAAAAAAAAAGAGGATAGGTTTGTAATATATGACACGCGACATTTTTTATAATAGCATATGCTCCACATAAAGAACGGACATTTTCATCTTTAAAGAAAGGTTACAGAAATATTCCTTAGTAATATTTTTTCCTAAACATATAAAAGTTTCATCCATATTTCGACGTGAAAGGTTCATTTTGAAATATCAGACGTACTTCATTAAACATTTTTAACCTCGGTTAAGAATGTTTAATGAAGTGGTAAACTGTTAAATTCCCTTCTCAAAAATCTTAAATTTAGGAAAACATAAAAATTTTGAAAAATGAAAAATTCAAGATGTTAGAAAACTCAAAATGTTTAAATATAAAAATTTTAGACACAATTTCAAAAGTTTAATTAAAACTAACATACTTCGAACTCGAGTTACTGAGAACGTAGCTAACCCACTGCAATAAACTAGGCGCCGCAGTTAAATAAATGTTTACTTTCTCTATGCGTATTAAAAGTACATTTTCGTTGTACATACTATTGTCTATAAAGCAATAAAGTTATTTCGTTTTATTATCATTTGTAGGTTTATCTGAAGTAGCACTTTTAATTTCTTCAAAAACATTTCTTTGCTTTTCCCGCTCGATTTTCTTTATCGGCTTTCGACATGCCCTACTCTCTAATACTAATCAATCATTTCTAACTTTTCATTCAAATGAAACGACAAAATACCAGAATGTGATACAGACACAAGGTGAGTATTAGTGGTTGGCAGAACTGAGTCGATCGATTCGATCAATGCAGAGTTATAAACTCCGCTTTGCAAAAAATTACATTACCTTCATATATCATTCTTCAGTAAAATGAGAAAAATAGGTAATTGAGAAAGCGTAAAGACAACTGATAAGGAATATGAAACTCAGTTTATTTCTTTTAATTAAATATTGTACTAGCTTAGCAATTTAATAAAGGTAATAAAGATACATTTTAGTATTTTAAGAAAGGCAAGTCTAGTGAGTACTTTAACCCACTGGCATTTATTGAACTTGAACCTTCATTTTGCAATTTAAAATAAAACATGATGTAATCTATAATTACATAAATCTTACCTCTTGCACAGGAGACATAGTTTTTAAACTCTTTGCTGAGCCTTTGTGCTGAAGCCTACAAAATTGATATCAATAAATATTAATTTACATGTAGATCTTATTTATATAGCATATAGTAAAGATACACTGTAATCTAAAATAGAGGTTTATTAAGATTTCTCTAAAGTTATGAAGTATTAATCTTTTGTCTAAAATATAACACAAAGCGATCTGTGTGACATGGTTCATAAAAATATTTAAGCTAATCTTTAAATCTGAAGATCTATTTATCTGAAGTTGCAAAACTCCATTTTTTATCATAATTTTAGGAAGAAGTTGCATTTTTATTAAAAATGGATCATCAGTTCATAGCCAATACAAATTTGTAATTTAAGAGATTTAATATATTTTGCATGCATTAAACATTTCTTCATTTTTTTCTCTAGTGAGCAGAATAAACTAGTCATTCAATAAAGTATCATAAATAAACGATAATCAAAAATCGGAATTTTATCATCAATAAAACTGATTTCTGTGGAAGTACTTTCTAGTCATTTGTTCTATTTATTTTGTGTGTAAAAAGGCGATGATAAATTCAGACTTCTAACTGGATTTAACTCTATCATTAGCTTTAGCAAATGTGTTACAGACATCTGATTTTTCATTAAAGTTTGAATTGTATGTGTTTGCTTTATTCATTTTGTATTCCACGTGCGAATATAAGCAATTTTTGTATTACATTATTTGCTTTGTGAACAACAAAGTAATTCTAAAATTACAGCTTTGCAAATGTGTTTACGAATGATACAGTTAATGAATTATATGTATTTTCTCAAATACTTTAGATCTTCCATCCAAGAACTACATGCAGAACTTTTGACATATTTCCCCTAAAATGGCGTAAAAAGTTAAAAATATTTAATTTGAAATTATACAGCTCTTACTCAAAATGGTTTTCCACGTTTATTTTAATTTTAATATGACGCTGTGATACTTTTGGTTCTAAAAAGGAAATGTACATTTTTAACTTTTGTTTGTAGAGGGCAGTGGCCCAAATAACAAGTAAGTATTTAAATAATGAAAACTGAATTTCGATTTATTTATTTATGCAATTATTTAGTACATATTTAATATTTGGCAAAAATGTCTTTCAGATAACACAATAATCTTAATTAATATACTAGTTAGCTACAAAACAAGCTCTTTTATCTTTAAAATCTGCATACATTCATTACTATATTTTAAGAGTTTAATTAATGAAAAGCTATGACATGGTATTCTTTATTGGGTAAAATCTTCTATTATGATACGGAATGCTTAATTTTGAAGAATTTCTGTTTATCGCAAGGAAATAATCAAAATATTACCATAATTCATTATAAATTTACACAGCGTTTAGGGCCAAGAAAGCTCATCTAATGCGGTTACTGTACTGTAAATTCTAGTTTTTCAAAGCTTATTCATTTGCAAGAGGGCCTAAATATCGTTACGATTTTCGACTTCCTTCAACTTTTTGTAATAAGGAAACTTGAGGTGAGTCGGAAGTCTTTTTGATCCAAGAAGTGAAGGATTTGGGAACAAATTTAGTATTACGGCAGAAAAAAGTACAGAACGAGTATAAAAATATTTTGAAGAAAAACCATCTATTTCATCTTAAAAGACTTCCTTATATCATAATTATTAAGAATATCAAGTTCATTGCAAAAAATGTAGAAATTCTATGGGTCTTCCTCTATAAGACAACTTCAGCAATAATGTCATTAATAGATGAGACTATTTTTGAAAACGTAACGTTAGAGATGATATGAAGTGGAAAAAAAAAAAAAAAAAAAAAAAAACTGTTGAAAACAGTATTTGGCTCAGTGCCAAGGCTCACGTCCAGCTGAATGGTGTAGTCAACAAACAGAAATGGAGTCTCTGCGGGCCTGAGAATCCTCATCTCAGCACTTCATTTCGTAAAATGCTATCCATAGAGTACAATATTTTCTAAGCGAACAACCGGCCAACAATTCAAATATGATTTTATCAATGGGTAGAATTATTGGCAATTCTTGAAACAAGGATCTTATCACCACAACGTGATTTATAATTATTAGTGCATGCAGAATTTAATTCGTCGGGAAAGAAACAAAAAAAAATGTTTTTTTTTTTTTTTTTTTTTTTTTTTTTTTTTTTTTAAGTTAGATACAGAAAAATTCTCTGGAATCAGTAGAGTGTCTTCCCTCATACAGCCTAATTCAAATCCATTTTTTCAAAATAGGCAATAAAATTTTTAATTACACTTGCATTTTAAACTACTTTCATTGCAAGAATAGCTCAAACAATAAATTACCCTATTTTATCAGACGTTATTTCAAACTATTAAGGTTTATCTAACTGACTTGTTTTTAGATATATCAGCTATAACCTTCTCTAGGAAAGAATTATTTTATTTAAGAACGGAAGGGAAGAAAAAATATTTAAGATTTTCTGTATAAATGAAATTGTAAATGAAATATTTACTCTTTTAGTTTGGAGGGAGAGAAATTTTCATTAGTAAACTTTGATTAAACCGCAGATCATTCTCTTACGTAGAAAAAACGCTAATGAGATCATTTTGATCCATCAGAATAATTACCACAACTATAAATAAATGGTTTATTGATTAGTTGCGAAGTTCACAGAGTTTCAAAGCTCAGAGCCTTACATATCTCTATAAGACTCTGTTTTTTAGGTATTGCCTAGTTTCTCACAACTGCAGGCACGAATTTATTGGAGAAGTCAAAGAACAAGAATCAGCGTAATATGTGTAAATTTTACAGGACAAGTTTCGATGCTACAGAACCATCTTCCTCAACTGCCTAAGTGCAAATGAATCTGAGGTACAAATTTATTTCACAAAACTGCAAACATTTCCCTTTTCGTTCGGTTATCAGTGATTAGCTTAACTCTTAGCTTTGCAGATTACAACAGATATAGTAAGCATTTTTGGGTAACAGGTTTTACAACAATCATGTATGTAATCATTTTAATCGGGAAATCTCTAAACATTAGCATAATCGCAAGTATAAAACATTAAAAAAAAAAAAAAAAGTCTTATCAGGAAAGGCAAAATTCGTTGAAAAGCATATTTTAGAAAGTATGAGGAAGTATGATAAATTCTTAATGCTTTATTTAAGGTGGAATCTGCCTACTCTGCAGCAAGAAGCTATTTTTCTTCGTTGGTCAACGCACTTTGCGTAGTTCGTTGTTTTTGCTCGACGCCACACGTTTCAGTCAAGGTCACCAAGTGGGAAGAACCCCAGCAGTTGTAAGGAATGACAATCACGTAACCGCCATGTTTGGGCTTCGACGAAGGTAGTAAAGTGACCGTGGAAATGCTCTTATCTTTCCCATTCGCAACAAGTTGAGAATAGCCTTCACGAGGCTTGAGCCAAGTTTAAATGCAGGTAGCAACTACAATAGTTTTATCTTGATTTTTCAGTTGATTTTCTGAAATATAAATTATTTGATGTTTGACATAAATTATTGCAGCTTTCTGTTCATTGCGGCCAAAATTCAGAAGTTGATTCAAAAAAGAAATCACTTCCTGGTGAAATACAAGAAGAGTATTGAACTCGTAAGCGAAAACACCCGTTCGTTGTGTGAAGAAATAGGTCAGTGAAAACAACAGACGGCAAGTCACGATTACTAACAAATGTCGAATCATTTCTGCTTGTTACCTCCCTCCCTCCTTTTTTTTTTTTTAATCAATCATCAATTTGATGACGACAGAATTTCTTTTCACAGTTAAGAGAAATGCTTAATTTTACTTGAACATCAAGTTAATCATGCATATTAAATAAGAGAAATGCATGCTTTATACCTTTGATTGATTAACATTTATATCTTAAAACGAACGAAGTTTTCTTGTTTGATCTATTTGCAATATATTAATACAGTTAATTAGTTTAATAATTTCAAGAATCATTTTAAAAGAATGCTGACGTATTGCTTAGTCTACAAAGAAATAATATCGTCCAAAAATGTTGTCTACATACTTAATTTGATTCACGCTTTTTTAGGTATACAGCATTCTTAAACAAAGCTTCTTCTCTTTACTTAAAGTATTGCGGAAGAAACATGCATTCTCCAGCAGCATACTGATGTCATTCATTTTATTGGCATATGACATGTCTAAGAAGCATTGCATTCTTCAATTATTGTGTCTTATTCTAACATGTGTGTAATATATCATGATCATAATGGATATGCCCTCTGAAAGTAAGTAACGCAGGCTCATTTATGCGGCTCATTGAATTCGCCCGAGTATACAAACAGATTATTCAGTGTCTCTGAATGCCCTTAGGCTTACTCTTCAGAGAAAGTTCTTAAAGATTACGTTGAACTAAGTATTCTTATTACCAGACTTTGATGTATGATTCTAGGACGTAGTTAGAAAAGCTGGAGATAAAGGCCGATACCTAGGCAATAAATATGTCCTTACACTTGTACTAATTACTTTAGTAAAATTGCTTGTGCAATAGAAATGCGCCTGGCAAGACAAATAATACTCTCAATAACACCAACACACTCACAAGCACCCCCCCCAAAAAAAACCTTCAAAAGAATTGTCGCAGTGATTGTTCTGAGACAAATTAGAATCTAAATAAAAAAACTGTTATGGAAAATAGAATCTCCCATTAACCTAACTTGTGAAATTGAATTTATCTTACAGTATATTAGAGAATTAGATCCCGCATTTCTAAATTAATTTTAAACTTCTATGAGATTTTTGGGTATAAGTTACAATGAGTTGCCTCATTTTTCATGAGAAATTTTAAAACGGTTAATGTTTTAAATAAATCACATCACAGGCAAGTATTATCATGGTCCGTACAACAATAGAAAAAAAAATTCTGGCAGCCGGAAGTCAAGTTAGTAGTTCACTGTTTTTTATTTCAATCTTTATTAAAGGGATAAACATTTTAATTTCTCTGTCCTTTAGATGTTCATTTTTCTGAATCACATCACTCACTCCAGAAGCATGCAGATTAATTTAGTATGCAAAAAAAGAAGACGCTCTTCACGTAGCAACGAATTTAATTCGAAGGTATATCGGTTAGAGTACATATGAGCTGAATTACTGAACGGCTTATCTTGGGCGGCTGTGCTATGTAAGTCTGACTAAGTGGTATTTAAATTAACTTTTTGTAGGTTAGAGTTGATGTGAATTAAAAAGTAATCTCTTCAAAAAAGTGAACAGGAGTATTATTTGTACGTAGAAAGTGGTTATTATTAAGCCTATATCTAAAGTTTTAAATTCGGTCAGAGACACTGGAGTTTGGCTTTAGTTGTTTCGAGCGAAATCATAATTCTATGTATAGGAAATCACAGTCACGTGTAAAGTAAGCTTCGGTACTTTAAATCGGAATATCAGTAGAAAGTTCTTCAACTAAAGCAACAAATTTTTTAGAAGTTAATAAAACTGAAATTGATATTAGCTACTGAATGTTTAATTAAATTTCACTTTCCCTAAGAAGAGTCAAAAATACGCGGGAAAACTGAGGAACGGGAAGTCTTTCGTCAGAAACGCTGAAGTGAAACAAATAAATAAAATAATGCTAAATAATATTATTACTTGATAATTAGTTCTCTTCGTCGTTCCCGAAGGCCTTCCAGAAAGCTCCACAATTCTGATTTTAGAAATTAGACTCTGATGACTTAAATGCTTAAATGCATGTAGACTGAAGAACATGCAGTTACTATGAGCTTAGTGAAACTCACAGATTATAAGGCATCAGTAATCATTTATTGCTGTCAATTTACTTCTGTGTTCATTTAGAGCTCTATGTTATAAGGAATTTTCGTCTTCCCCATTTAGTGCTGTCGTGGTGTAAGCGGTAGCATATCCGGTTTTCAATCGGAAAATTCGGAGAATGAATCCTGGCGACGGCAGCTGATTCTTTACGTTTCTAATGCTCAGCAGATCATAATAAGCTCTGTAAGAAGCGCCGTATTTAAAATATAGTGGATAATATTTCTCCACCGCTTGGATTTGATGGCTTGGTTTCTTCCGATTACAATCGTCCTTTAAGTAGAGAAAAATGTAAGGAATTTTCGTCTCTCATTGCGTACACTTATGGTGCAATCAGTAGCGCATCCAGCTGTCAGTCGGGAGATCTGAAGTTCGAATACTGGTGAGGGCACTGCTGATTTTTCATCTTTCTGCTCTGAAAGGTCTAATGGACTCTACTGAGTAAAGGCTTTTAATATGCCCGGCATATTTTAAGGCTAGCTAGCTAACAGGTATAGGTAGAAGTGAGCGACATACCAGAATTTCACCATTAATGCTTACAAGTATAATTCTACCTCACTAAGTATTCAGCTGCGTCCAGTTTTGATGGCGAACACCCACTGAGACAGATCCGAGGCTCTCACACTCCTCTTCCTGAATCAGTAAGGTGGTAAGAGCTTAGGGTCAGGTTGTGTATCTAGAATTTAGTTACATATGTGTACATTATAACATTCTCCCGCTCTATAAAAGGAGCACAAAATATAAATTCCGAAGATACCTCAAAAGGAAAGCAATTTCATACTGCAATTAGTGCAGTATGAAAATATTCAAGTAGCTGTAAATCAAAAAGTACAAAACTTTAAATCTAACTAATACCCACTACTGTAAAAATTATCATCAGTTTTATTATTCAAGGAATGTCTTCTTTCAATGTGTTTTAAACTACCTTCCAGTTTAGAGTTTTTGCCAGTTTCATAAGCAAACATTATGTGAAACAGTTTTCAATAAAATAATTTGCGAATAATTTATTATTTATTAATATTTTATAATTTTAAAATGTAAATTATAATTAATTCATATATTAAAATCCTTAAAAATTATAATTTCTCCTTTCTTTAAAGTGAAAAGGGATTAATAGTTTCACAAATATTTTGAAACATTCGATACCCTTAACTGATTCATTGTTTACTATCTCAGTGTCCATCTATTTAAAAGTTTAGAAGCTAAGTACAATCAGAGCTAAAGAGTACCATACAGGCTTCTGAAAATATTATGCTGTCTTCGAAAAATGAAACTAAGTAACAACGAGGAAACAATTCATACTAGATTAGGAAGTACGAAACTAATTTACGAAACAATTTGTGTGAATGCTAAGCATTTGAATGTAAACTTTAAAATACCTATTTATACCTTAAAAATATTGATTTGTGCTAATAACTCATGTGAGATGTATGTACATTCATTTGTTTATTTACGTTGTGAGGTGTATTCAGTCCGCTTACGGAGTTAAAGCGTTTACGTCAACAGATTAAATCGTCAAGGTCACAGTTGTGAATTATGCTCTTGAGTAGAAAACATGCAACCTATTTGCAGGCTTTTGTTAGCTCAGTGAATAAGAACAGTCTGCTTCCAAGGGGCAGAAAGTTTTGGTTTTGAATACCATTCAAAGTTCAGATATAGTATCGCCTCTTAATATGTAAATGACGAATCAAGATTGATAATCATTTCATTCGGAGGCCCACCAGCGGCCGAGCGGTAAAGTCGCTGAACACTGGTAGTTCGGTCCGAGGTTCGAATCCCGCGAACGGGCTGGCTGCATGGGCGTTTTCGTGGTTTTCCCCATGTGTAACGTGTATACGAGCCAGTTTCCCTTAGAAAGTCCTCCACGAAAGGCATCCCTCCCCTTAGGCAGATAGCCCTAGTGTGCTTTGCCATAATTAAATACACAATTAAATACACATTTCATTCGGAATACTGACTGCTTGGAATTTCAGATCTCGGTTTGCTTAAATGTAAATCGCTTCTGTATTTATATTCGAATTTAAAATGCACGATTTTCTAATGTTCGGCAATTGTCAGACTTTGCACAAGGCCGCCTTTGATGTTATTTTATAATCAAGGCTAAACCGTAGACGCCAACAATGGATTAAACCATTCACAATTTTTTAAGGCGAAAATAAAGGGATTTGTTATATTACCTTTTACTTATAGTCTTCTAAAACTGAGTAAGTTATTTCTATTACATTTAGGTGGATAGAGCATATGTCTTCTACTCAAAGTTTTACTTTAAAAGATTCTGATTGTTTATGTATTGGTCTAATATCTACTGCTTTTTGTAATAAGGTAAAGTTCCTATATTTACGTTCCGAAATACGCATTATAATGTATGAAATGCAAGTAGTTCCGAATTATCGTCACCACCTTACTAGAAATTTCCAAAGTTTCAGAAAACGTCAAATTCTGGTAACCAGGCGCATAACGATTATTTCGGCAACCAACCAAAAAAAAAAAAAAAAAAAAAAAAATGTGCATTACGAATATTCTGCTTTAACGTCGCCATTTTTGTGTCGTTCTTTTTTGTTGGATTCCAACTTCCAACGGCTTTTATAGGAAAATTATGATTATTTTTTGTCTTAACTAGAAAATTCATGCTTGTGGGATTTTTTGTATGAAGAAGAAACAGAGCTGAAACCTCTGTAGGAATACAGTATTTTGCCGAAAAATTGCTAAGAAGCAATGCTTCAATGCTTCGAATCCTTTCTCAAAGCGATTGAATTAAAATTTCCTTCACAACAAGAACGAAAACCCGCTTGTTTTAGGTTCACTGATTGTTTTTTGAATAAATATGTAGTTGGAACGCAAAATATGTATGCAAGCAATATTTTTTTTTAATAAAGGTAATTGTTTTTTTTTTTTTTTTTTTTTTTTTTTTTTTTTTTTCCTTCCTAAAATTCGCCAAACGTCATCACAGTGGTTGCAATAATACGTGAGTACCAAAATGCAAACGGAAATTCCACTGGAAAATGTAAACTTTATTTCCAGTGGAAAACAACACAATATATAGTATAAGAAGTACTTACATGCTGTTTGTTGAAATTGCTGATGTATATGTTCAGGATGTCATCTGTCGTTCGATCTGCTTTCCCCAGATTTTGTAGAATCTAAGTAATAAAGAAATGCTATAAGTTTTTAAGTACTTATACATGTTTCACATAAAGAGCACTGAAAATGACATTATGTTAAAGCAAGTTATAAAATACAAATGAAATTTATTAATTAGCATTTTGTCAAATTCGTATATAAATTGTACGCAAAGCTGTCCGAAACTATTATAATTTTACTTCTAAACTTTTTCTATTGCAAACAAGTAAGTTTCCTGAATTTATTACATACGTAAAATTACTGTCTAGTCTTTTTAATACTAGAAGTCGAACTCATGTAGAAATAATAAGGCAATATTTAACAATATGTACATCTCATATTCATTTTTTCAGCTTGGGGCTCACCAGCGGTCGAGAGGTAAAATCGTTCAACACTGGTTATTTCGACCTGGGCTCGATTCCAGGCGAACGGCTGCATGGGTGTGTTCGTGGTTTTCCTTATGTATAACGTGTATACGAGCCGGTTTCCCTTAGAAAGTCCTCCACGAAGGCATCCCTCTCCTCAGACAGATAGCCCTAATGCAATAATGAACTAAACCGAAACCTTTTCAGCTTGGCGATCTAACAAAGCCTGCTTGGCTTGAATACAAAGACTTAAGAAGACATTCGTCAATACATAAATCCTTGAAGCCATGCAAGATTTATTACGTAAAACTGTAAGATTTTAATTTAATTAGTCAGTTATTTTATTGCTTTGACTCTTCTGTACCTTCGTCAGCTTCCACCAGAAAGCAAGTTAGTTTAAAGCAGAGATTCCCAGCGGGGTTGCTATTGACCTTGTGGAGATCGATGAAATTTTAAAGAGAGTCAGTGATAATCAAGGAGTCGACTGGCAGTCGATACGCGAATATGCACAGGCAATTGATCTGCATAATCAAGATCCCATTGATTCGAAAAACTTTATATAAAAATCATTGATAATTAATAGATTATTAATATAATTGTTTATTGATATAAAGTATATCATGCGGTAAGGAAGAAATAGTATAAAACAAATAATGTAAGGAGAAAAACAAAAATTATTTAATACGTTTTGAAAATCATTAATATTTTTAGTATATAATTTTTTATTCAATAATTGCAACATAAAAAAGTAAAACACAGTAACGTAATTTATTTCTTCACACCGAAATACTCTGACTCTCTTAAGGTAATTATTTTGGGTTTTATAGGTTTTTTAAATAACATGACAGAATTTAATTTTTTCTGAACGCTGACAACCCCATTAATAAATTAATAAATTTAATATATATATATATATAAGTTAAGCGATAAGAATTGTAAACTCGCATTAAAGCTATATCATTTTCTCTTCGTTAAAAAAAAAAAAAAAAAAAAATTGCATTTCTGTTTTTCGAAACTGCAGCAGTTAGTTTTTAAACTTTGATTTTGAAATCTTTTTAGGAAGCTTTGACTAATTGATTATATATATCTGTAATGTTTTAAGTGTGTAGACGTCACTGGAACTTTTAACAGCTTTCCATAGTCGAGTGGAAAGGCAGGAAGAAGATGCTGACATAATGCAAGTTCAGCTAATTAACATCTTTATTTCTAGGCACATTAGAATCATTCTTCGTAGACAATATACTTTCTGATCATAAACAATTACAATAATTTCTCACATATACAACTTAAAGGGGGCGACATCAAGCAGTGCAGCGGGAAGATTTTCGGCAGTGGCGGAAGCTAGGAAAGGAAGATGACGTAGTTAACTTGCGAGCGGTATTTACACAGTGTATATGCAGAAAGTACTCTAGGCTATGACTGGTTAATTTTAGTTTTAGTTACCTTTTTCAAGCAACGTTATATAATATGGAAAGGTCTCGAATTTGGGAGAACAGATAAATTTAGACGGAAGAACACCAAATATAAAAATCTGAAAGAAAACTTCTAATTTTAATTGGCTATAACCACTTTCATTTTTTAAAATTTAATTTGGGGACTTCCTCTTTCTGTCTTAAATATAGCGCTATAAGTCTAAACTGCGTCATGTAAAATTAATCATGCGATCCTACGTAACGCTTAATGCAGCTACCTCTTGCCCAATTAAATAATCGTAAACGAAAACTTTTTTGACTCGAATTGAAACTTCTGACTCCCTCCCTTCTTCTAAATTACTGCGTCACTTTCGCTTAAGCTTTCCTCCTGCCCAGACGCTTTGCGACTACCTTTTTTGTTCACTAAATATGTGCTGAGGTAACAAAAATGTAGGGCGCATAAGACATTGTGAACCCAGGATTGTTTTCTTCAATAATAAAATTGTCTTGAATCCGGCCATGTCTGCCTTGCAAAGTTCTTCGCTGGACATCTATTACGCCACAGCCATGTTCAAAATCATTCTTTTCATGTCATATATATAGTATATATTCTACTTGGCTGACACCTGTTCATTATTCAGCGCCACACGAAACAAACTTCACGGGAGAGCCATTAATTTCATTGAAGCTAGAACGAATTCAGTTTTCGTTCAAAGACTGAATTATTTATATCGACACTGAATCGAAAATAAATGCATTACTTTTTTTTTAACTTAATACGATTATCCCTTATTGAAAAGGGTTGATTTTACTCAGGTGATATATTGTTATAAACAAGCCATTTGCAAAATTTAAAAGAAGATTTTAATGTTAGTTTCCAAAACAATGAAAATTTAAATATGTCAGCATGGCTCATAAAAACCTCTGAAGTCCGATATATCTGACCTCTATATCATAATGCAAGAAAATTTCATTGTATCGAAGGAGAATGCATTGCACAAAGGATGATGGACATGCTAAATTGAATTTTGAATTGTGGCTTGTATATCAATATACTTTCTGGGCAAATACAAGTTTTTTCAGTAATGGATAACCGCATTAAGTTATCAAAATATTAGGATTCTTTTCGATTCAGTTTTGATAGAAACAAGCCAGTTTTAGAATAAAAACCGAAGATAATCGTGATGTAGCTTTATATCAATAAATAATTATTTATAAATTTTATTAATACTATTTATAATCAATGGAATTTTAATATATGGCAGTCAATTGTCACTGCATATTCGGCTATCGATTCAAATTCGATCCTTTGAGCATCACTAATCCCCTTTTAAGTTTCATCGCCCCCTAAGGGGTCAATACCGATCCTGCTGGGTATCTCTGGTTTTAAGCATGAGTGAAAGAGTGAAAGAAGTTTAATTTGAAAACTAATAGATATACCTTTTCTTAACAATAAAATTAGAATCACGGCCACAAGTGTAACCAATGTTATCGACTAAATACGTACGAAAAAAGGCAATTAATCTCCTGTTCTCATGCGTGTCTTTCAAAAGTTATACAATGCATTGATCTCCTGCACAAATAATAAATACTGACAGAAACGACTCATCTGCTGTCAAAGGCAATCTGCTTTCACTTCATTTCGTTTATAAAAGTATGTAAAAATAATATGAAACAAACTACTTAATCATCATGTATCACTTCAAATGATTTTCACAAAATATGAAGTATGAGAATGAGAAAGGTAACCGAAACGCAGGCCTATTTCCTTTTTATGATTGTCACTAACCCTGTTATTTATTATCATAAATGGAACTTGATTGCATAATCTGTGATTTATTGAGTTAGATCTGAATTGCATGATGTCTCTGGCATTTAATAGTACTCTTTTCTAATAGAGTTGTACACCTTTTGATAGCAACAAAAAACATGTCATAAGCATTGAAGGAGGGAAGACAGAAATGAGGGAAAACATTGCAAAGAAGCCTTTGCAAGAGCCTGTTTTAAGTAAACCGTTGAAAATGAAATAAAAAACATTTTTTTGCCTTTATGGATATATGCAAAGGGAAAAAAATATCATTATTTTTTACTTTAGGAAGCAACGATAATGTTTTTAGCTTTATTTCTTTTTTGAGAGATTTAATAATAAAATGGAAGGAATTTGTATAACCGTCTAAAAGAATCAAATACAGGGCCTGGTTGCTTCAGCTAGTATAATCATTTCCTTAGATAACTATTACACAAACAAATTGCTTAAAATCAACATAACTGCTAAAATGAAAATCAACTTGAAAGAAATGTAGAGGAAAATTAAATCCTAAATTGAAATTTATTAGACCATACTTGGGCTGCCAAGAAAGGATACAAACTGAAGAATGATTCAACAGAAAAATCAACATAACTGCTAAAAGAAAATCAACTTCAAAAAGAAACATAAATAAAAATTAAATCCTAAATTTAAATTTATTAGACAATACTTGGGCTGCCATGAAAGGATACAAACTGAAGAATTAACTTTCAGATTACTAGTAAATCCGATAACTATTTATTTACTGTGTAAAGAATTTTTAAATTAACTTAGCACAAAACACTTGAAAACGGATCATAACGTTATGTCTAATGATATTCGCTCGTCGAAAAGAAATTCACGATGATATCGATTTTCCTCCTTCGGTTTAATGAGCGATTCGACTCAAGCGAAAAGCCCTATTTGGTAATTAGAATGCCTCTTGACAATAATTCAAACAAGGAAGAGATTATAAAATCACTAGAAAAAGCAGTTATTCAAATAAGCAACTTATTCAAATAAGGAAGAGGTACTTACCTAAGAAGAGATAATAAACCTACTAAAGTACAAAACAATGATGACGGAACTTCATCATAACGCACTATGCTAGATAATGTGATTACTACGATTCATTTTACTTGTTAATAACTGAATGACGTCAGGTGTGTTCAGTAAAAATTATTTATTTTCGCTGCATAACGAGATAGAATTTATACCAGAAAAAAACGATGGACAATATGTCCTTCATTCCACCATGTTTTTCATGGCGCTATTAAAACAATTTTAGCCCAATTATTTTGCTGGGCTGCGGCTTATCTGACTTCTTTGATAGTAACCCCCTGACATGCGAAAAAAATTGTTAAAATTCCGAATTCAGCAATCTATCTGCTGCAACTAAATTCAAATTAATGGCCTTAAAAATACGAATTAATGTGCTTTTTAGACTGATTTGCAGC